AGGACACCCCTCCACCTGGAGGCAGAATCCATTCTTTGCTATAATATCATCAAGCTCATCATGTTGGCCTGGAACTGTCTATGTAACCCAGACAGGCCTTGAATTTGTGGTCCCCCTGCCTCAGCCTATTGAGAGGTTAGGATTACAGGGGTATACTGCTATGCCTAGCACCATAAGGCTGTTTTTTAAATTTTATATGTATGAGTGTTTTCCCTACATATTTGAATGCTTGGTTCCAAGCTGATGGAACTGTTTGAGAAGGATTAGGAGGTGTGACCTTGTTGGAGGAGGCGTGTCATCAGGAGTGGGCTTGGGTTTTCAAAAGCTCACTCTGTTCCCAGTTAGCTCTGTCCCTCTCTCCCTGGCTTGTGCTTGTAGATCAGATGTGAGCTCTCAGCTCCTTCTCCAGTGCCACGCCTGCCTTCTTGCTGCTATACTCCTCACCATGACCGTCATGGATGCTAATCCCCTGGAATCATGATCCCCAAATTAAGTGATTTCTTTTATAAGGTGTCTTGGGCATGGTGTTTTGTCACAGTGATAAAAAAGTAATTAAGACACTGGACTTAATGTGTTACAGAAAACAGTTTTGTTTTTCTGAGACTGGCTTATTTCATTTAACATGTTGACCTCCAGTTTCATCCATTTTTCTGCAAATGATGTAACTTTGTTTTCTTTTTTTAAAGATTCGTTTTTTAAGTGTGTGTGTGTGTGTGTGTGTGTGTGTGTGTGTGTGTGTGTGTGTGTAGCTATGTGTATATGTGAGTGACGGTGCCCTCAGAACCCAGAGGGGCATAGATCACCTGGAGCTGGAGTTACAGATGGTTGTGAGCTTCTACATGGCTGCTGGGAACCAAACTTGGATCCTCTGCAAAAACAGTGTACACTCTTAACCACTGAGCTACCTCTAATTTTATTTTCTTTATGACTGAATAAAACTCCATTGTGTCCATATACTGCATTATCTTTATCCTTCATCCAGTGCTGGGCACTTAGGACAGTCCCTTAAATCAACTTTGTTAATATTGCTGTAAAAACATGAATTTGCAGCTATCTCTCCCATATGTAGACTTTGTCATTTTGGGTTGGCATCCAGGATTTGTATGGGTGATCATATGGCAGTTGTATTTTTAGTTTTTTGAGAAACCTTGATATTGATTTCCTTTCCCCTACACCTTCCCCAGAATTTTTCTTGATGATAACCACCCTGACTGATGAAATGGAATCTCTATGCTGTTTTGATTTATATTTTCCTAATGGCTAATGTAACCATTTCCTCCAAATTGAACCATTTTGGAAACGAGTAGGGGGTTCATAAGACTCAATACTGAAGGAAACTCGCAAGGCTCAGGAAGCTCATGAAACTAGGCTCAGAAAGTGCTGGAGTTATCATATTCACAGGACCCCCTTCCTGAGTTTGTGTGAGCAGTATACAATTGCTAGAAGAGAAGAGATCTTAGTGAAGCTGCCTGGAAATTCGGCAGGAAATTCCAGGATGCAGCTTTCTTGCTTCTTTACCCACATTAGGGTGCATATTTTGGCAATTCAGTTGCCCCCAAATCACTCAATTCTCTTGTAACCCCAATGAACTCTTAGGTTCATCAAGCTAGACTTGAGTAGAATTGTTTCTTTGACCTGTCTTAGATACTCTATCCAGGTGAAGAGATCTTTGTTTGTCACTCTTAAAGAAGTTATACAGCAGTGAAGAACATGTTTTCAAGTATTTCTTGGCATTTGTACTTCTTTCTTTTCTTTTTTTTTTTTTTTTTTTTTTTTTGGTTTTTCGAGACAGGGTTTCTCTGTGTAGTTTTGTGCCTTTCCTGGAACTCACTTGGTAGACCAGGCTGGCCTTGAACTCACAGGGATCCGCCTGCTTCTGCCTCCTAAGTGCTGGGATTAAAGGCATGCGCCACCACCACCCGGCAACTGTACTTCTTTTTAAAACTGCATCCAACTCATTTACCCCTTTATTGGTTGGATTGTTTATTTGGCATTTAGTTTTCCAATTCTTTATACGTTCTGACTAATAATTCCCTGAGAGATTAATGGATGACAAAGATTTCCTCCCTTTTGTATGCTATCTCTTCTATCTGCTGCTTACTTTCTTGTGCAATTTTTTTGGGGGGTGCATGTATATGTATGTGATGCATGTATGCAGTGTGTGTGTGTGTGTATGTGTGAGTGTGTGGTGCACCTGCTCATGTACACACATATGTAGGACAGAGTAGGGTGTTGGGTGCCTTCTATTGTGTACTCCCTTATTGCCTTGAGGCAGAGTCTTTCATTGAACTGGAAGCTTGCCATTCCATGAGGCTGGCTGGACCGTGGGATCTGCCACACCACCTAACACTGGGATTACAGGCAAGCATAAGATGCCTGGTTGTCTTAGTTAGGGTTTCTATTGCTGTGAAGAGATACCATGACCACAGCAATTATAAGGAAACATTTCATTGGGGCTGACTTATAGTTCAGAGGTTTAGTTTATTATCATCATGGCAGGAAGCATGGCGGCATGCAGGTAGACATGATGCTGCAGAAGTAGATGAGAGTTCTACATCTGGTTTGGCAGGTAGCAGTAAGAGGGAGTGAAACTGGGCCTGGTTTGAGCAACTGAAACCTTAAAGCCCACCTCCAGTGACACACTTCCTCCAACCAGGCCATCCCTCTTAAACAGTGTCACTCCATGGGGGACATTTTCATTCAAACTACCACACTGGCTTTTAAAACAACAATAACAAGAACAACAAGAAACAAAACAACAAAAAACCACATGGATGCTAAAGATTTAAACTTAGATCCTCATGCTTACAGAGCAGCTGCTTCCTGTTACAATTTGGACACAGTAAGTGCATAATGCATATGTCCTGTCAGGGACCAAACATGAACCATGGAAAAGTACTAGCTAGGCCAGAGAACAAGCCACAGGCCCAAAACCAGATGCCCCAAAGATAAAGAACATCCCACTGTCAGGTAGCATAGCAACAGAACAATGGGCTGTGACCAGTGACCTTATCACCTAGCACAATATCCTGCAGCCTCACGACTTGCACGTCCTCCTTCACCTGCATGTCTCCCCTCAAATGCATGTCTGGCACGTCCTGCACCCCTTCCCTCCTTCATTTCCCCTCCCCCCATGCTATATAAGCCTTGCTGAGGAGAATAAAATTTGCAGGTTGATCAGAACCCTGTCTTGCTGTCTTCCTTTGTGTCTTCTGTCCCTTTCATTCTCTCCCACAGGTGGGTCGCCCCCGTTGAGACCCCGCTGGCCGGGGCAATGTCCTATAAAGTGACTACTTTTTTTTATTTCCAAAGCTGAGGACCGAACCCAGGGCCTTGTGCTTGCTAGGCAAGCACTCTACCACTGAGCTAAATCCCCAACCCCTAAAGTGACTGCTTTTAACTTTGAGGCAAAGGTTGAGGAGAGAGGGATGTTGAATGCCCTAGAGAAGGGAAGGAGAGTGAGATAATATAAAATAGTACCCAGTTTTGAAGGAGAATGCTATCACTTCAAGGGGAGAAAAGAAGAGGGAAAGGCAGGCAACACTGGGGGGATTCACACTGGATCACTGAGCATCTTTGTATGAAGTGTTACCTTCCACTGAAGATCACCAGCAGAGAGTGACTCTAGAGACTTACTAATTGTGGTCAGCTAGAGTCTACCAGGGACTATCTAGACAACGGAAAGGCCCTACTGCTTTTCTGCCTGATCACAGCAGGCCCTGATGAACATATCTGTGTTATGTGCTTTATGCCATGGAATGTGTGACAGAAAGCATCCACTCATTTGTTTCCAAGTAGTACACAGAGAGTTTGGAAAAAATATTAAAATTATGGTATCTTATTTCTGCTGTATCCCAAAACGGAAGATTGAGAAAGTGAAGAAGTTATTAAAATTATATGAGTTCAGCTTATTATGCAACAAAAATAGGTAACTGCTTCTCTAGATAGTTTGGCAGGGTCTTCCTTGTTAGAAAAGCATACTAATGCTACCTATTTTACTGAAAGAATCACTTATAACAGCAGGTACTTTGATGCATATGCATTGATGGGCTAGCATTTTCATATGATAGCTGTCCTTACACTTTGAGATCATTTATGTGTGGAAGAATACCTACCATTACCAGGAAGCAAAACATTTTTGAGCATCAAGTTTTATTTTTAATTCTCTTTCAGTAAGAACCATCCCAAGATATTATCTACAATGCATGGCTTCACTCCACAAAGAATTCTGATACTAAAGAAATTTAACTCAATTGATTGCATTTACTTTTATGTCCTTTGCTTTCATTGCTACAAGAAATATGCTTTCAATGTTGGTTCAAATTTATAATGTACATTCTGTGGGAAATAAATACACTGAAACAGACAATGGGTAACACTACACGTAGAAAACATGCTATAACCAAAATGGTGCAAGAATTAAATCTTGAATTTATTTATTAGTGCTAGGGATTAAACCAAGAGCTTTTCTCAGCTGAGCTCTTACCAATAACAGGCACTCCATACCACCAAACCCTGAAAACGCTAATATTTACACACCCCAGGCTATATTCATTAAATTATTATGGTCAAGAAATTAAAACAGCCGGGCAGTGGTGGCGCACGCCTTTAATCCCAGCACTCGGGAGGCAGAGCCAGGCGGATCTCTGTGAGTTCGAGGCCAGCCTGGGCTACCAAGTGAGTTCCAGGAAAGGCGCAAAGCTACACAGAGAAACCCTGTCTCGAAAAACCAAAAAAAAAAAAAAAAAAAAAAAAAGAAATTAAAACAACTAACAATTATAGTCCCTAAAAGGCAAAAATTAAATGAAAAAACAAACAAATGAATCTGTCTTAAAATAAAAGTTTCATAAAAAGAGTTTATCCTGATGTAAATAATTGCAGAGAAAATAGAAGTGAAAATGGGGAAGAATACAAATAAATTGCCTAATAGAAAAATTGGCCAAGAGAAATAAATAGATAAGATATAAACAACATGGGAAAATTTCATCACTGAAAACTTCTCAACATGGGTAATAGTATTTTATTGATTAAATATTCTGATTATGATACATATTTATAAGCACAGTATCATTTTAGAGGCTCCCATGTTCTGCTGGCACAACTGATCATTCGTGATGATTTAATGTAGAGTTATGGACATGTGGGCATCTGGGCAGCTCGGTGGCACACAGCAGCATGTGCTGTTGAGTCTTCAGCTCTCCCTGGGCAGCATGTCGGCATTTTTTGTGGCAGGACTGTGCTGTGAGCACCCTCTTTTGGGTCAGCACACCTCAATACCTGATAGTAAGGAGGGAAGGATTACTAAGCTGTTCTGGTGATATGTTTTATTGACTTGGTCTCACTTGTGAGACAGACTGGTAAATGCTTCCATGCTGCCAAGGCTCCTCACTGTAAAGTTACAATGGAAGGATTTCAATGCTGTATGAATGAAGTTTGGTTTTGTTCATTAGTTTCCAGCAAAAGTGAAGGCACAGGAACTATGTGTAATCTTCAACTACTTTATCTTGCAGGAAGTAATGTTGAGCATATTCCAGTATGGAGACAGATTAAGCTTGAAAATCTGAGGAAAGGACAAGAGAACATTTAGTAAGTTATTCAGAAAACCAAGAGATTTTTAAATTTCTTTTTATTTCTTAAAGAACCAAGCTGTTTTGTTTTTTAAAAGATATTGTTTAAATGAGATACTTGCTTTATTCTTTGAGACCGAGTTTCACTATACAGCTCCCAGCAGCCTTGAACAAACTGTGTATACCAAGCTGGCCTCAAACTCTAGAGATCCACCTGCCTATGAGATTTGTTGTAAAAATCCTTAAGTTATTGGCAAGTCATCAACTTCATTTGTAACCTAGAAATCACTACTGTAATTAAATGCAGACAGTCCTCATTTACTCAGGTTCCATAGCAACTGAGAGCTGTTTCTGCTGTTTGTCTGTCTGTCTGTCTGTTTATGTGGAAGAATACTTTCCTGGAGCACAACCAAGGAATTGGTGGCTGGGCAGTGAATTCGGCACTGCTCATCTATCTATTCTTTTTTTAAAAAAAAAACTTTTTTTAAAAGATTTATTTATTATGCATACAGTGTTCTGCCTGCAGGCCAGAAGAGGGCACCAGATCTCATTACAGATGGTTGTGAGCCACCATGTGGTTGCTGGGAATTGAACTCAGGACTTCTGGAAGAACAGCCAGTGCTCTTACCTGCTGAGCCATCTCTCCAGCCCCTGTCTGTCTATTCTTTACATGTCATTTTCATGTGATTGCCATTTGGCTGTGGCAAATCGAGCCTGAGATCCCAGGTCCTGTGACTGGGAGCTGAGTTCTTGGTATTTTCACATCATCATTTCACCTGATACTCAAAATAGCCTTGTTAGTGTATTGGGACAGAGATGTTTTATTGTACAACAGCATGTTAGATACAAGTCTTACCCCATTTTTCAGCTTAGGTCCTTTCTTCAAGCTTGTATCAGCATCCAGACCACTGACCAAGGTTCTAGAACTGGGTTCTCTTTCCTGATAAGATTTCCTCTCAGCTAAGTGATCCCTGAACTAATCTTGTTTGCAGTATCAGATAGGAGGTTGATCAGAAGGATTTTATTTTATTTATGTTTTAAATTTATTTATTTATTTATGCTTTTTGGAGACATAGTTTCTCTGTGTAGCCCTGGCTGTCCTGGAACTTGCTTTGTAGACCAGTCTGTCTTTGAACACACAGAGGTCCTCCTGCCTCTGCTGGGATTAAAGTTGTGTGCCATCATCACCTCAATCAGAAGGATTTTACAATAGAGCTACTTTCTTATTATGATGACAATTATATAACAATACTTTTTCTCTGTAATATAATTTATTATTTCCTTCTGGTTTGTTAACAGTTAGATATTCAATACAGTTAGATAGTCAACTCATTTCCTAAGTAAAATTTTCATGGAATTTGTATTAAAATTGAAAAGAAAATCACGCTAAACTTTTGTGAAGGCCCACAAAGTTTCCTAGTGAGATCTGGGCTTGCTTTACCCAGCAGGGCTGCATTAGAGGATTGCTTGACCATGTGCATGGTTACCAGGTAATTGGAAGGGTCTGCACTTGGATGTGCTGGGGTCAATTCTTTTGCTCTACCCCTTGGCATTCCTTTAAAAATCCCTTCAGGGACATGGTCAATAAGACCAAATGACAGCCTACAGAATGGGAAAAGATCTTCACCAACCCCACATCTGACAGAGGGCTGATCTCCAAAATATATAAAGAACTCAAAAAGCTAGACATTAAAATACTGAACAATCCAATTAAAAAAAAAATGGGCTACAGAGCTTAACAGAGAATTCTCAACAGAAGAATCTCAAATGGCTGAAAGGCATATAAGGAATTTCTCAGCATCCTTACTCATCAGAGAAACGCAAATCAAAACAACTCTGAGATACCATCTTACACCTGTCAGAATGGCTAAGATCAAAAACACTGAAAACAGCTTATGTTGGAGAGGATGTGGAGCAAGGGGAACACTCCTCCACTGTTGGTGGGAATGCAAACTTGTACAGCCACTCTGGAAATCAGTATGGCGGTTTCTCAGAAAATTGGGAGTAAGTCTTCCTCAAGACCCAGTTATACCACTCTTGGGCATATACCCAAGGAATGCTCAATCTTACCACGAGGACACATGCTCAACTATGTTCATAGCAGCATTATTTGTAATAGCAAGAACCTGGAAACAACCTAGATGCCCCTCAACTGAAGAATGGATAAAGAAAATATGGCACATATACACAATGGAGTATTACTCAGCAGTAAAAAAAAATGATGTCATGAAATTTGAAGGCAAATCGATGGAACTAGAAAATATCATCTTGAGTGAGGTAACCCAGACTCAGAAGGACAAACATAGTATGTACTCACTCATAAGTGGATACTACATGTGAGGGAAGGGATGGCCAGACTGTAACCCACAACTCCAGAGAGGCTAGCTAACAGGGAAAGACCCCAGGAGGGACATATGGATGACCCTGTGAAGGAGAAGTGGATGAGATCTACATGAGTGGACTGTGTGTGGGGGGGTGGCAGAGGGTGAGGAGTGGGGGATCAGAACATAGGGAAATGGGAGGGTCGAACTGGAACAGGGACAGAGTGGGAGGGCAGGGAGGAAGATACCATGATAGATGAGGACATCATGGGAATAGGAAGAGGCAGGGTTCTGGGGAGGCTCTCAGGAATCCACAAGGTTGACCCCACCTTGGTCTGCTGGCAGTGGTCCAGAGGGTGCCTGGACTGGTCTACTCTTGTGACCAGCCTAGCAAATAACCTAGCTGTCATCATAGAGCCTTTGTCCAGTGACTGATAGAGGCAGACACAGAGATCTACCAGGCTGAGCTCTGGGAATCCAATTGATGAGAGAGAGGAGAGATACTGCAGGCAAGAGACATCGAGATCATGATGGGAAGACGTGCAGAGATGACTGGCCACACTAGTGAAAGCCCATGAACTGTGGACTGGTGGCTGTGGAGCCCCCATGGGACTGGACTAGGCCCTCTGGATACGGAAGACGGTTGTTTGGCTCGAACTGTTTGGGGGGCACCCAGGCAGGGGGATCGGGATCTGTCCCTGGTCTATGGGCAGGCTTCTAGAATCCAGTGCCTGTGGTGTGACACCTTGCGCAGCCTTGGCGCAGTAGGAAGGGGCTTGGGCCTGCTTAGGCTCAGTGTGCTGGGCTCTGCTGACTCCCCATGGGAGACTTTGATTTATGGGATATGGGGATGTGGGGTGGTTTGGGAAAGAGGGCTGGGGTGGGAGGAGGGAGGAGGGGGATCTATGGATAGTATGTGGAATGAGTAGAAAATTTCTTTTTTTTTTTTTTTTTTTTTTTTTGGTTTTTCGAGACAGGGTTTCTCTGTGTAGCTTTGCGCCTTTCCTGGATCTCGCTCTGTAGCCCAGGCTGGCCTCGAACTCACAGAGATCTGCCTGGCTCTGCCTCCCGAGTGCTGGGATTAAAGGCGTGCGCCACCACCGCCCGGCTAGAAAATTTCTTAATAAAGAAAAATGAAAAAAAAATCCCTTTAAAAGAGACAGAAGGGGCCATTGGGCATTGACCCAGGTCCTCCTGGAGCTATGTTTTCCTCCTGTGTTCCTATCTGTTTCTCTCCCCTCCTCCTTCTATCTAAATATTTCTCACTTCTCCCCACTCAAGAGTACTCTGGGCTAAAAGTGGGAGTGGGTCTGCCACAGATGGCACCCAAAAAGGGACCAGGAACTTGGTGAAAGGGGGTTGGGGACCCCATAGGAAGCAGTTGGGCATGTCTGGTTTTGTAGTATAATAAAGACAGAGGTATTCTATTTTCGGGAGTAAAAGTAAAGTGGTTGAACGAAATGTCAAAGGGAAAAATGAGGCTGTAACGAATATCTCTCTCTGTCTAGGTTTCTTTCTTTTTTCTCTCTCTTAATTTCTATTTATAAAAATCAAGGAAATACATAAAGTAGAATATAGGAATACAGTATAGGAAGAAATTTAGAATAAGAGTAGAATGTAGGAATATAGTTTAAGAAAAAATAGGATAAGATAAGCAACAAAACAGAGAAACTATGTCCTTGATTTTCCAACTATGGGGTTATGAATGCAAAATTCTGGGGAAGAATCAGAAAAATCTATCAAAGATGAGAAAAAGATGGTCAGAGAAAGATTCCTATGGAAGCTTTTGGCCTGGAGACAGCTTAGAATCAAGTTGTGAGAATCAGGGGTGGATTTTCCCTTAGGTGGATGTGGGTGAAACAAAATTTCCCACTCTGCTGGCAAACACCATTACAACACAGTACAATCAAAATTACTTTTCATTTGGCCATGAAGCCAAGGAGAACAGAGGCCTTAGGAAAATCTTAGTAATCTCTCTCAAAAAAACTAAAAGCTTTTCAGACCTTTCCTTCTTAGATTTTTTTTCTCTTTCTATAGGGCAAAAAATTAAATTCACTTGGAAGAAACATCTATCAGAATAGGAGAATCGCTTGTAACTGCCCTAGAATAGAAAAAAATCCCCTGAAGCATTGCTAATCCTTACTGTTAGCATTGTATCTCCATTTCTAACCAGCAATCAGGAAGCAACTAGCAAAGGACCAGGGGGTAAGCACCTCTGAGTTTGAGTGCGTTTTGGGGATATTAGGGTTCCTGCAGTTGTCAAGCAGGGGGCTGAGGCGGAGGAGGTGTAAGACATGGGGAAAACTGCCAGCATAAAAAATCAGGGTAAATTTAGCCATATAAACAAAGCTGGCAGGAATGGCAACAGTTGCCCTCCTGGCTGCAAGCCCTGAGTCAGTAGGTGGGGCTACAAAGCATCCACAGCTGCAAAAAAATCTCTCTTTTCTATCAGGGAAAAGACCTTTCTGAAAAAGTGTTTAGTCCAAGTGCTTTCATTTTCTTTCACTGACCCAGAAAAGCAGGGGAGCAAGCCCCGAGGGTTTTTTGCTTCTGGCATCAAAGTGCCTATCTGGATGTGCACAGGTGGATGGACACAGCCTGCTCCAGGAAAAGTGCCAGGTGAAGGAAATAGACCTATCAATGCCAGCTCAGGGAGAACAGAAATCTCCCGTGGTAAAAGCAAAATCTTGACTGAAAAACCTCCCATAGTAAAAGCAAAAGAACAAAACAAACTGTGTACATGGAAACGGGGTTGTGGTGGACCCAGAAAGGCAACCTGGGAAATATAGCGTGAAAAGTAGCTTGGGAAATGTAGTAATAGCATGACACTATAGAGAAAGGCAGTCTGGGAAATGTTTTTCAGCTCAAAATGGTGATACTGCACAAAAACTTTATTTTTTTTTTCAGCTCAAAATGTGGTTTCCCTTCAAAGCAATGTTAGAAAGCTTAGTTTTATCTCCTGAGAACTAAGAACAGGTGAACAGCTTGCTCCTAAGGAAATAATTAAAAAGCTGATACTGTTTGTCTACAAGCTACTTTGAAATCTTTTAGAAAACAAGAGAAAATAATCCTTACACTGGGAAATTCCTTTGGGTGGAAAAAAACTTACAGGATTGAGTTGTGCTTAAGATACAAGAGGGAAACATTGACATCATTAAAAGAACTCATAGTAATCTTTAAAAAGCAGCTTTTAAAATTAAGAAGTGGGAATATTAACCATTTTACCCTCAGTTAAGTTTAAGAGCCATTGATAAATTAGGTTCTGACTTCAAACTCTCAAGAAAACTTGCAGAATGATGTCAAAGTTGACTATAGACTCTGAACTTTAGAAATGATTTGCATACTTTCTGTCTTGTTAATAGTTCAATTAAGAAACCTCTTTTGGTTGTTTGCTAATAGAATTTGCTTTTGAATATAAGTTAGTTCTTTTAAGAGACTCTTTCTAGATGTTTGCTAATAAAGTTTCCTCTTGAATATAAGTTTGGTAAATAGTTCTAAGAAATCTATTCTAGATATGTGCTAAAGTCTGTAAAATAGTCCTATAGAGTTTCCTTTTGAATGTGAGTTTGTAAAAAATATAAATAAGTATATGTTGAATATGGGTTTGTGAAGGGTGTAAATGTTGAATGTAGGTTTGTGTAAAGTGTAAATGTTGAATGTAGATCTGTAAAACATGTAAATTTTAAATGTAAGTTCATACTAGAATTGTTTTTATTACTCCATTAATATTTGTCTAGACAAATTAGGTAACATTAATTTTTAAAGGAATATATTTTATCTCCAGATATATTTGAACACTTTTTATGATAGACCTAAATATAATTAATGAAGGTGTCATAATTAAGAGAGCTTTTTTGTCTTCTCAGAAGTTTCCACTCCTTCCGTTTTTGCTTAGAAAGGAGTAGGTGTCCCACAAAGCGATAAGCCTCTCACCAATTGAGTTAGTTTGTAAAAATGTCTTTATAATTAGCATGGGTTTTGTTTACTTGAGTAGACACTTTGAAGTGATTTGAAATGACTGTTTTCTCCTGGAACTCAAAATAGTCTCTTGAAATTTTTATTGAACATCTGTTAGGAGAGAGTTTTAATCTAGGGAAAGGGCTTGGTGCAGCTGAAACTGCTGTAATCACCTTAGACTCATTCCCAAAAGGATATTTCATCTTTATTATCCTCTACTCCTTTACTGGGAGGTGTGGTAGCTATGGAGAAGGCTGTGGATGTTTGAAAGCTCATAGTAGGGACCTGGGCCAAAGCTGAGTTAAGCTTGGCACCCTCTCCTGCCAGAGGCTGGTAGTCAAAGACAGGCAACTTTCTTCTTAATAGCTTCCAATCTAAACCAGAGTATGCGTGATGGAAAGTATATCTCCATTACTGGTAAGGAAGATCAATCAAGGAGAATGATCTTAGGCAGGCACAGTCTATCTGAGGGACCTGAGGGAACTTTATTATATCAAGAAGGGGAATTGTGGAGGCCCACAAAAGTTCCTAGTGAGATCTGAGCTTGCTTTACCCAGCAGTGCTTCATTAGAGGATTGCTTGACCACGTGTGTGGTTACCAGGTGTTTGGAAGTGCTAGGGGAAGGTCTTTTGTTCCACTGCTTGGCATTCCTTTAAAAATCCCTTTAGAAGAGACAGAAGGGACTGTTGGGTATTGACCCAGGTCCTCCCAGAGCTATCCTGTGTTTCTGTTTCTCTCCCTTCATCCTTCTATCTAAATATTTCTCACTTCTCCCTCATCAAGAGTACCCTGGGAGCAGGGTACTCCCACATACTTTAAAGAACATTAGTCACAGAATAGAAGTCTATGGGCCTAAACTTGCCTTTTATGAACATAAACAACCCATAAATGCTCTCTCTTTTAAAAGCCTTCTTTAAGTTAGAGAAACTAATAGGTGGAGACACTCAGTGGGTAAAGGGTTTGGTGCACAACCATAAGGACCTGCGTTTGGATTCCTAACACCTATGCAAATGTGGGGCACAGCAGTGCACATCTGCAGTCCCAGCACTGGAGAGGCAGGGACACAAAGATCCCTGGAGGCCACCATCCAGGTGACCTAGCAAAATCAGGGAGCTCCAGGTTCAGGGAGAGACCCTGTCTCAAAAAAATGAAGTGGGGAGTAATTGAGGAAGACACCCAACATCTTTGTCCACATGTGTGGACATATATACAAATGTAAGTGTAATAACGAATAATGAAAAAAGAGGGCATGAATTTGAAAGAGAGCAAGGAGGGGTATATGGACAGTTTTGGAGGGAGCAAAGGAAAGGGGGAAATGATGTGATTATATCATAATCTCCCAAATAAAGGAAATAATTTAAAAAGAAAAACAATTAGTAAAATCAGAAGGCATCTTTCTGCTTGTTTGTTTTCTTAAAGACAATATATAAATGAGAGTCTTTAAAGTTTTGGAAACATTAAGAAAGTTCTTTAAACCTGAAACATCTAATAATGCTAATGCTGAAATAAGATTTCAACTTTTGGTGACTGTAATGTGACAGATTCATCACATTTTGTCATCTAGAGGGTGACTAGAGATATTTAATCTCAGGTTCTTGTGTGAGACTTGGGATGAACACTCTTTGTGTCTGCAGAATGGGCTGGACTAGTGCTCTCTACCCTGTACTACAGTGTTTCCACTCCCCAAAAACACTATGGGCTTTTCCTCTGGGCATTACAAGTTATCTTCCTTTCAACTCTTAATCATAACTAGGACTTGAAAACTGTTTTTCTTAGAGAACTTAATTTGCACAAACTTACCCAGATTTGGCAAGGTTCCATACTTACCTTGGGGGATCGCCAAGGCGATACGTTTAAAGGAGGAGTCCTTTCTGATCTGGTCTGCCATGGCGCAGCAGTGGGTGAAGGCACTGATGCAGCGTGGGCCTATTTTCACACGGGCAGCTCGTTGCTCACAGGTTTCATGGTAATTATACATGGCTCCGTCATAGCAACACTTCTTTAGCACTGGGTGTTTGTATGTAGAAGCTGAAATGATGTAGATACATGTGTCCTTATCACCAACAGCCATAACACCTTAGGCTTAGGAATCTCAAGGGTTATTTTCTCTACCATCATAGGACTCCCTCACCAGATGTATTTGGGGAAAACAAATATTTTGGATAGTTTTAGGCATGAAAACAATAAAGAACTGTTTTCCTCAGGTTAAGGATATGGCTAAGAATATCCTGACTTTACCTGATGGAACAATTTTGAAGGATGAACTAAATCTCCACATGCATCATTTTCCCCAGCTGCTGTATTTTAACTAGGGAAACCCCGTGTCTTATGCTCTTTGGTCTTTGACTGCTATAATCGCAGTGGTTTACAGCTTGTGGAGTACCTTGTTCATTTATTTTTTGTTCCAGGTATTTTGCTGGCTGGAGAATCACACCTTGTGCTTCATCTGTGAGGGAGAGAATGGAATGGGGGAAGAGTGCTCAGTGTCATACTGCTGTTATATCACTTAAATAGGTCTTGTCCCCGCAATACCATCACCCATTACACTCTGGTCAGCTTAGAGTTCATCATTTATTGACTTAACTACTTGACTTGTCAGTAACTCTTTATTTTTCCTAAAATTATAAGCCTAGAAAGATCCCCCATGAGCCAGGCTCCCTGGGGAACTCTACCACTTCTCTTAGGAAGAACATGAACCTACAAAGGCTGACTGCCTTCCTCAGGACTAACAGGCAAGCTGACCCCAGACACCCAAACAGCCACCTAATTGTTAGAGTACCTTGATTTTCTACTTTGTGTTGCAGATCACTTATTGGCATGAGAGTTATTTTGTAAACTTTATCTGTGTGAGAGAGAAGGGGGTGGAGAAGGCATTAAATCTTTCTAAAACAGTCCCATGACAGCATTCTCTTCTACATCATTGTGGCCCTCTGACAACCTCCAATAAGCACTGACTCCCCCCGCCCCAGTCCTATGCCCAACCAGGACTTCCCATCACCCTGGCCCTCATCCCCACCTGGAACTAGTTTGCCTCAGCTACATTACTGAAAAGAATTACTGGAAAAGACCTAACTTTTTATAAATAAGTTTTAGATCGAAGATTACCGTGTTCTTTAATGTCAATGAATGTAGTTCCATTTGTTGAAGCATTTTCTCTATATTTAGCCTTAATCATCCATCTGCCATATCTGTGGAAGCAAGATGTTTGAAATCATAGATGGTACCAAATAGTTTTAGTTTATCAAGAGGAAATCTAGTCATTTCTATCTTGAGATATAATGCATATGTATATGAGTGTACACACACACACACACACACACACACACACACACACACACACCCTAAGTTAAAGTTTGGAGGAAAGATTTTTGAACAATAAAGACATAACTGAACATTCAGAAAATAAAAGAAAATGTTTAACAATTAGTTTTTCATATTATATTCTTTTCCTACATATTTTACTTTAGTATAGTAATTTTGTTTGGAGGACTGATGACAATTTCAGAATCTACTTATCCAGAATATATAAGTTAAAGTCACAATATAGTAAAAATTGATAATAATGTCTCTGGAAAGATGGCATGCTAGTGATGAAATTCATACCTCATATGAGCAAAATTGTGTTAGAGAACAAAGCATGGCTGTGAAAGAGTAGAATAACCTGTTTAACAACCTTCATCCAAAAATATTTAGTGAGCCGGGCGGTGGTGGCTCACCCTTTAGTCCCAGCACTCAGGAGGCAGAGGCAGGCGGATCTCTGAGGTCAAGGCCAGCCTGGTCTACAGAGTGAGTTCTAGAACAGCCAGAGCTACCCAGAGAAACCCTGTCTTCAAAAACAAAAACCAAAAAACAAACACGCAAAAAAAATTAGTGAGTACTACACTGAGATAGAAAGATGAACAAGACAGAAGAACCGTAGACTTTACAGTGAACAATCCACGCTAATTCAGACTTTCACACATTTTCCTAGCAGGTTTGAGTCAGACAAGTTACTGCATCTCATTTGGGAAATAAGAAAAATAATACCTACCATGCAGATAAGTGATGTGATCAATGGAGGTGACTATCATGCTTATCATGACTATTATCAGCAGTTCCACAAGTACTTGACAAAGTACCTATGATGTTGAATTGCTGAGATAAGATGAACATTATAGACAAGGGCTTTGCCCTTAAGGAGTTGAGAGTCTAGTGTAAATGAATAAATAATGAATGGAGACATGGAGATAAAAAAATACACAGGACATGGAAGTAGAGAGTAAAGTGGACGTTACATTGTATCCAGAGATGTTTTTTGTGCAAAGTATCGTTTTCCCATGTCCCAAAGAAGAGAGCTATAAAGGAGAATGTGTTCTGTGCAAAGAGGACAACAGCTGCCATGCTCCTCAGACGGGAGAGTGTGGTCATGATGGATCCCAATAATCCCCATGGGACAGCTGGCATGAGGTCAAGTCTGGGAAATAAGAATCATAATAATGTAACAAAGTCAATTCTGCACTAGGAAACCTATGGCATTTTAAGAAATTGTATAACTTTACATCATCCAGGTTATTTCAACCTCCCAACTTCAGCCTACATTTTTAGGAAAAAATGTTTTCAAAATGAGCTAAATACAAACTCCCCTAGAGAGGACAGAGGAGAAAACTATGAAGTGGTTATTCTTTAAATTTATGTGGTAGCTATTTATCACTGCCCTTGTCTTAGGCATCCTGCTCTGTGTTCCTTGAGAGCAGGGATTGTGGACGTTTGGTTTCTATTTGGCAGCTTGCTGTCTTACTGAGATTTACACATACCAGGGGTGCTCATTAAATATGTATTTCATCAACTTCTGTATGAACATGATCTTAAATCCTTGCATATGAGGCCAAACAGAACAAAATTTCCTACACACACACACACACACACACACACACACACACACACACACACACACACACACACACGTTTTGATTAAACCCAAAACTCTGTACCTGCTAGGCATAAGTGCTCTTCCAATAAGCTATAACCCAAGCCCTTGCTCCCCTTAAATGGACACTCTGTTAGGTTGGAAAAGCAAAAAGGACTACTTAAAGATTTTTTTCTCTTCTAAATATATTGTTCTCTGTATAAAAAGAATGGGTGAGAAATTTTGGGAACTCTCTCTGTGTGTCTCTGTCTCTCTCTGTCTCTCTCTCTCTCTCTGTGTGTGTGTGTGTGTGTGTGTGTGTGTGTGTGTGTGTGTGTGTGTGTGTGTGTTCATTTGTTGAAACAGGGTTTTGCTATCTACTGAAGCTGGCTGGTATTCCTAGATGGAAGTGATCCTCTCTCCTCAGTGTCCTGGAAATCTGAGACCCCTGGCATGTTAGGCAATGCTCTGGTATCTGGGATTCACTTCTGTTTGGCTGAGGAGTGGGCCTGACTTCTGGTATCCTTTAGATACACATAGCCACATGTGTGCTGTCTTTGCTGGCAGTAGGTGGCTCCTCTTAACTACTTCTCCACCTCACAACCACAAGTTCCAGGTGTGTTTTTCAGAAAATAACTTATTAACAAACATTTTTACATACTTAGGATTAGAAGGAATCTTGAAGTCAGGAAAAGAGACGATTCCAGTACGATTGCTTCCTTGTACTGTGTCAACTTCTGATCCTTCAGGGTCCTTTAGGGAAACAAGAGAAACTGCCCGTCTTAGTTGCTCTTTCGTTGTTATAAAAGAATATCTGGGACCAGGTAATTTCTTAAAGGACAGAGATTTGGCTTCCCCACAGTTCCGGAGGCTAGGGCTGCAAGAAGAAGACACTGTGTGGAGAGGGGAGCTGCCCTGCTTCAACTCTGCATGGAAAAGCAGAACGGCAAGCAAGCACTTATGAAGAATGGGTTTCTGTTCTCCCTTCAAGAAAGCTTTCTCCCGTGAGAACAACCCTGCTCAGTCTATAGTCTGTGAGGGAAGTATCATGTGAATACCATGTGAATACTAAGTGAATACTTACTATGAGAGTTAAGACAGTTTCCTTTGTGACTGGCTCTAACTCTTCATCCAGAGAATAGACATCAACCTTTACTGCAGGAATAAGTGATAGCATCAAAAACCTTGTTAACAAGGGCTATGCTAATTATTGAAACAAACACCTTCAGGGTGAAAATGATTTAAAATATATTGGGTGACATTCTCAAAGATTAATAAAATAATACATTTTAAAAAACATCTTCAATGAGATAAGTCTTATTAAAAATCATATATAACCCATAGATAAAAACACATATTTAAAAGAAATAAACGTATATATTACTAATGATTCTTTCATTTTAAAGCAAATACTCATGAGTTACTTCTAGTGAACAAGATAGTTCACTTTATGAAAATACTTATGTACAACTGCTGGGAACATGTGGATGCATAAAATTAGTTATTTCTGTAATTAGCCATCATTCATCAGGAATTTCATAATGTCAAGAGTGAGATCTACTGTAGGTTATATGAAAGCTTACAATACTGCCTTACTGAAGAGCTGAACGGCAAATTGGTGTTTGGTTTGGATAACATACCCTCTCCCACTTAAGAAAACTAGCAAGGCTCCAAATTAGCTCTTCCAGTGAAGTCGCTGTGGTCAGGAGATTTTGTTACATTTGTTTCACCAGGTCCTGTGATTGTTCTCTCCTCAATAAAAGCACAGTGGCAGCTGGGCTGTGGTGGTGCACGCCTTTAATCTCAGCACTCCGGAGGCGGAGCCAGGCGAATCTCTGTGAGTTCGAGGCCAGCCTGGTCTACAAAGCGAGTTCCAGGAAAGGCGCAAAGCTACACAGAGAAACCCTGTCTCAAAAAACCAAAAAAAAAAAAAAAAAAAAAAAAAAAAAAAAAGAATAGTGGCAACATCCCAGAACTGCTGGTCCTTGAACATCCTAGGCAAGCACTCTGTCACAGAATTACATCACTTTGCTTTCTTGCTAAGTAGCCCAGGTTAGCCTGTGACTCACAACCCTCCCTCATCAGCCTCCCAGTTCTGGGATTATAGACATGCACCACCATGCACTACAAGACTTTCTACTTCTTAAATTTTGTATGTATAGCAAAGCCAATTTATTTTTTATTTTCTTACTTATTTTTATTCACTTTAAAAATAGGTACACAGAGCCGGGTGGTGGTGGCAAATGCATTTAATCCCAGCACTCGGGAGGCAGAGGCAGGAGGATCTCTGTGAGTTCAAGGCCATCCTGGTCTACAGAGTGAGTTCCAGGACAGCCAGGGCTGTTACACAGAGAAACCCCGTCTCAAAAAAAAAAAAAAGTAATAATTCACGGAAAAAAAAATTAGTGGAACATTTGATGTATTTTCATCTCTGCCATTGTAGGTTTTAATCTCTACAAGTTGAATTTGATCCCTTAAAATGTCTTCCTTGTCTTTGTTTCAGTACTTTTTAACTTAACTTTTGTTTTTAGAATTACATGCGTAAGTACTATAATTGCATCCCTATTATTGTTATGTTCACACACACGCACACATATGCACACATTCATTTAGTGTTGCTCCTATGTGCATGTGTTTAGGTTGACTACTCAGGACTGGATCAGCTGTGGGGGCTCATCGCTGGATAAAACCAACTCCCCTCTCTCAGCGACCACGCATATAGCTCTTTATCTGGGTATGATTCCCTCCATCTGGGTTGGTATGTCGACTCCAGAGATTCACAACAACTCAAAATGCAGAGAGTACGTGACCATGGGGTGCCCAGCACGGAACGGTACAGCTAAAACACAACCCCACTCCTAAGATCAGGGCACGGTATGAACGGACAGCGGGAAGATTGGAAGATGCAGAGGAGCAGGATGTCTTCACATCTGTGAGGATGTCTCAGAACTGTGGTTGCCTGAGCTGCACTGTCTGCTTCTTAACTGAACATACAGACAGAACTTATGCAGCAGGACCACAGTGACACATTTTCTTCCTTTCATAGCCAAGTCTTGGTCTACACACGAAAATTAGGATAGTGCTGTAAGCCCAACACCATTTTGACTCTTGGCCAGTGCTGTGTAAGTGCTACGAAGAAGTCCGTTAGAACCCGTGTTACCAAGGTAACAAGGTAAATCCAGTATGGTCAGCAAGTCGCCCGCATTCTGTGCTCTCCTTCCTTCCATGCTGTCATCCACCTCATGACTCCCTCCGGTCTATGGACAAACCTGCCTTCCCTGTCCAGTTGTCAAGAAGCAACTGTTAGCAGCATGTGGCAAAAGCTAAGATCACAAGTTCTGAAGTTCAAAGCTGTCTTGATGCTTTTCCTTCCCTGTTCTAGAGTTAGCTTGGCCATTAAACCCCATTAGTAAACAGAAAAATTAGTGTTGCTTTACAGTGACACCCACAGATATGAAAAAGCAGTCTCCACATGACTCAGCATAGAAGTAACAAATGTTTACATTTCAGTGATTATTATTTGCATAGTTTTTAACCTAATTTTTAGTTAACTTAGAATATTAATCTTAGTATATCAGAGGCAAGATCAGTAAAATCTGTATATTGAAGCCACGACTTAATTGAAATGCTTTCTTTGTGCTAGACAATGAAATAAGAGTTGTGAAATAGGTCAGATGTGGATGTCTTCTAATGTTCTGTAGGAGAGGAGAAGTACAGTTATGTAAATTTCCAGGAGCACAGGGTGCTGCAAAGCACACTCCTTTGCCTTTTGAGAGTACAAAAGAGAGGTTGAGGATGTGTCTCAGTGATGGAGCACTTGCCCAGGATGCAGGAGGCCCCGGGTTTTTATCCCTAGCACTGACAGAGGGAGAGGAGACAGAGAGAGAGAGTGTGGAAATGTGAGTGGGGTGGCAGGGCAAGCTGTAATGGCAGGGTCCTGTGAGGGATTCATGTAAACAGAGGGCACCAGCAGCAGTTACTGAGGAAAGGAGAGGTTAAAAATGTACTATGCATAGGTAACAGCACATTGTACCCACCTCCATGTGGATGAAAACGGCGGGAAGAGCAACTGAACTGAGGTCAGTATGATGAGTCCACAGTGAGAGGGCATAGTAGATAAGGGGGCTGAGGAAGAGGGTGGGACACAGGCTGCATAAAACTGAAGGACTCTGGACAATAGTCTAAGGTCCTTTATCCTAGAACCTTGGAGACTTAAGTCTTTATTCAAAGATGCTTTTGCTAATAATCCTTCAAGTATCTTCACATTAATTACATCAATAGAATAAAGAACTTTAGAATGTTCTTATGGGCAGAGGTTACCATCTTGCATACCACATCGTCTTGTTGGAGTCAGATCAGTCATTTCTGGCAATGACTCTGTCTAAGCTGGTGGCACATCCTCACCAGGTCTTTCTTTTCCAAGCCAATGGAACAAGTGCTCTTGCTGAATGTTAAGATTATCATGGCCCTGTTGCACCTCACTATGGACATCACCAGGGTCCACCAAAACTAGAAGGTTTCTGCTGTGCACAAGGTTAAAAAACAAAACAGTTCTGCCTGTCTCTGCTGGCCCTTCCCCCTAAGTGCCATGAATAAAACATCCCAGCTTCCTCCCAACACATGCACATCTTGCATAATCCATCTCTAATTGAACAGAGATGGCAAGTGTCAGGTGAAGACATAAGGTTTTACAAGCAATGTTGACATTTTTCTATGTCTTTTCTCAATCACAGTGTCTTTCCTGCCACTCCCTCAACAGTAAAAGTGTAAGTTTGAAAACATGCTTAGGCTGGAGAGATGGCTCAGTGGTTAAGAGCACTGGCTGTTCTTCCAGAGGACCTGGGTTCAATTCCCAGCACCCACATGGCAGTTAACAAATGTCTGTAACTCCAGTTCCAGGGGATCTGACACCCTCACACAGACATATATGCAGGCAAAAGACCAATGCACATAGCATAAAAATAAACAAATCTTTAAAAAAAAAGAAACTATGCTTAACAGACACTTTCTTAGGTGGCTGACCTTAGACAGTCAGCATCTAGGCATCCCTATGATGTACAGACATCTTTCTTAACTCTGATAGACATCTAATCCTCTTCATTTGGATTTCTTTTTCCAACTTGAGGACTAGCTACTGAATCCAAGAATGTTCTACAAACAGTGTTTTAAGATAAATCATTTCTCAGTGCCAAAATCATATTTGCAATTATATCTTCTGTATTTTTGATGAGTATTCTCTAGCAGAGAAGATAAAGTAATCATTGGTTATGTTATTTATTTAGCACTTTCTTTATAAATTAAAAATGAAAATGCTATTTGAGAGTATAAAAGTCGTTAGGATTTGAGTTTCTCTTGAGTAAAGTAGAAACAGGTCTCCGCTCAATTTCAGATGTTAAAAGTTCCACATATTTATGTCAATTCTCCCCTGAAAGAGGAATCAGATACTCTACCGGGCTGCTGTGGAGTGTACACAGGCTTGTCAGTGTGAATGAAGAGAGAGCCCTTGTCATAGACGATCGGCTTCTTTTCTGATTTTGAAAAATGCTTTGACACAACTTCCAAATACACAAATGAAAACGAGCTTTGTCCTTCAGACAACTGTTGGGCCTGAATCTGTAAAACAAGAAACAAACACCACGATAGGAAAGTGTGAGTGTAAAGTAGGAAAGCTTGCTGACCTTGTGAAGAAAAAACACTGTAACCTCATTAAGACCAAAATTGAGCTTGTGTATTGCAACATTTTAAAAGAGGTACACTGGACTGGAGAGGTGGCTCTGCAGTTAAGAACATTGGTAGACCTTCCAGAGGACAAAGGTTCAGTTCCCAGCACCCACCTGGCAGCTCACACCTTCCCTGACTCCAGTTCCAGTGATCCTACACCCTCATCTGTTCTCTGTGGTTATTGCACACAAC